GCCAGCTTCACTTGGAGAAACATCTCCTCGACATCACCCGTCAGAGCGATGGGATGACGCCGGAATCCCAGTAGAATCTCGATCAGATCGCTGCAGATTGAAGGACCTGGGTACAGCTCGTCGTTCAAGCTCCTTCCCTGGTACTTTGCCGCAGCGTCGAAGACCAGTCTGACCTTTGTTGTTGCCCTGTCTTGTCTTATCACTGGAAAGTGAGGCAAGAACCACCCTTCACAGGTGGCGGCTGTCCAGTTTTCATCACCGGCGGCTATCTTCAGAAAGTAGCCTTTCTTCACGTAATCTTCTAAGATCTCACCGTACTTTTTCTCCATGGCTTCATCTTTATGTTTCTTCATATTTTCCTCCGTTTTTCTCAGCCTGCTGAGCGCATATCCGAAATTTCCGGACAGATTGGGCTCATCATTTCGCCAGGGGACATTCACTTCATATCGCCCTCCTTCATGCTTCATCTTCTCAACTTTCTTCATCGCTTCTTTGTCTTCAACTGACAGAATCTTTTCTTTCTGCTCCCTTACACCGATCACTTCTAGCTCTGTCATCTCTCGCATGGCCTTAATCTCTTCCTGATTTTTGTCGCGGAGGCGCGGAAGGAGAGAAGACTGAGCGGGCCGAGACTTGTATTGCAACTGTGGTTCTGATTCTGATTCGCCAGTGCGTCTGCGTTATATGCAAGGTGGTTGCACAATGAAGGACCGGTCCGCCGACCCGCCGGGTCGGTGGACGGTGCCGACACGTGGGGGAAAGTGACGGCTATTTCTATGTAACAAAGATTGAACGTGTACTCTCTTTATCATGATATGGAAGAAGGGAATCGGTCCCACATTATCTTCCCTCCCCCAGGGAAGCGTAGGGAACCGAAGCGATCATAACAAAGAGAGGAAACGTTTAGCTGACGGAGAAAGAAATTTCCATATGAGCGTATCACAAAATGGTATGAACAGATAAGTAAGTTTCATGACAATTACACCTACTACCGGGCGATCCCTCCGCACTCTTGGCGGGGACCGTCCCTGGGCATCTCCATGGCCCTCGGCATCTCTGGCCGAATATCAATACAATATAATTTCAGTGAATTGACCACGATTAACGTATTTGAATGTTCATACCGTTGAGAGCAGGCTCTTTTTACGTTTACTAGTGTCAAAATGACACGGCAAAGTGCAGGCAAAAATTAAATGCACTTGCAATTTCTCCGTAAATTTTGGGGTGAGCAACCACAATGAAGCACAACAAACGACAGAACACTGATGAAAACGGATAATGAAACAGTACGGTTTTTGAAACACATCGAAGTTAAAACAAATTTCACAGCACAATTTCACTGTCACTTTTTGACGAAAATACAGCAAAAGTTCATAATGGGTGAATTCTCTTGATTTCGGTGCCAACTTGTCTTGAATTTAGCGTTGAAGTTTTTGTTTTATCTTCTCTCCTCCGAGCTTGAGTCCTTCAGCGAGGTGGTGTCCATCACTCGATGACGTTGAGGATGGTGCGGGCTGATGAGCCGTGCGCTATCGGCGGGCTCCGTATTAGTCCAGGGCAGCTGATGACTGTGCCGCAGGGCAGATGGTATTGCCGGGCAGAGCTACTCACTGGAGACGGTGCTGCTGGACGATGACGAGTCCAGGATGGTCAGCTCTCTAGTCGATGACGCGACTTAGGGGCGATACACTGTCACGGAGCACGGACTAACCAGTCTGCGATCTCAGTGCAGATGTAGAGGCTGGGGTCCGTGGTGAGGGGCACAAGTCCCCTCGACCGCCGCTGCCACCATTTACCCCGTTTACATGAGTCATTCAGCCTAAACGGAAATATCCGATTAGCCAGGGAACGGAAAAATGCGTTTCGGTGGCCCCGTTTACATGAGCCTTATCGGAAAAATCCGTTCCGGAACGGATAATTCCCTTTACGCCGGCAGCCCGAAAAATATGTGCGTGAAGTTGGCGTCGGATTCGGATTCGTATTCAGCGTCGAGTACCGAATCACTTGAAAACGTCATATCTGGTCAATTCGGGGACGGGGAGCACGAATATGACATTAATTTTGCCCTAGCAGGTATCCCTTATCCCTTAATCGTCCCTTAAACGACGGGGCGCGCCAAAAGTGCCTCAGGGGCTCTTCCGATCACGAAAATAATGGTCCCAGGCGATTCCCCGGGTCGATATCTAGCCGCACCACCACTAACTTCACACGTGCCTCATATCCCTTATCCCTTAATCGTCCCTTAAATGACGGGGCGCGCCAAAAGTGCCTCAGGGGTTCTTCCGATCGCGAAAATAATGGTCCCAGGCAATTCCCCGGGTCGATATCTAGCCGCACCACCACTAACTTCACACGTGCCTCACATCCCTCATCCCTTAATCGTCCCTTAAACGACGGGGCGCGCCAAAAGTGCCTCAGGGGTTCTTCTGATCGCGAAAATAATGGTCCCAGGCGATTCCCCGGGTCGATATCTAGCCGCACCACCACTAACTTCACACGTGCCTCATATCCCTCATCCCTTAATCGTCCCTTAAACGACGGGGCGCGCCAAAAGTGCCTCAGGGGTTCTTCCGATCGCGAAAAGAATGGTCCCAGGCGATTCCCCGGGTCGATATCTAGCCGCACCACCACTAACTTCACACGTGCCTCATATCCCTTATCCCTTAATCGTCCCTTAAATGACGGGGCGCGCCAAAAGTGCCTCAGGGGTTCTTCTGATCGCGAAAATAATGGTCCCAGGCGATTCCCCGGGTCGATATCTAGCCGCACCACCACTAACTTCACACGTGCCTCATATCCCTTATCCCTTAATCGTCCCTTAAATGACGGGGCGCGCCAAAAGTAAATGACGGGGCGCGCCAAAAGTGCCTCAGGGGTTCTTCCGATCGCGAAAAGAATGGTCCCAGGCGATTCCCCGGGTCGATATCTAGCCGCACCACCACTAACTTCACACGTGCCTCACATCCCTCATCCCTTAATCGTCCCTTAAACGACGGGGCGCGCCAAAAGTGCCTCAGGGGTTCTTCTGATCGCGAAAATAATGGTCCCAGGCGATTCCCCGGGTCGATATCTAGCCGCACCACCACTAACTTCACACGTGCCTCATATCCCTCATCCCTTAATCGTCCCTTAAACGACGGGGCGCGCCAAAAGTGCCTCAGGGGTTCTTCCGATCGCGAAAAGAATGGTCCCAGGCGATTCCCCGGGTCGATATCTAGCCGCACCACCACTAACTTCACACGTGCCTCATATCCCTTATCCCTTAATCGTCCCTTAAATGACGGGGCGCGCCAAAAGTGCCTCAGGGGTTCTTCTGATCGCGAAAATAATGGTCCCAGGCGATTCCCCGGGTCGATATCTAGCCGCACCACCACTAACTTCACACGTGCCTCATATCCCTTATCCCTTAATCGTCCCTTAAATGACGGGGCGCGCCAAAAGTAAATGACGGGGCGCGCCAAAAGTGCCTCAGGGGTTCTTCCGATCGCGAAAAGAATGGTCCCAGGCGATTCCCCGGGTCGATATCTAGCCGCACCACCACTAACTTCACACGTGCCTCACATCCCTCATCCCTTAATCGTCCCTTAAACGACGGGGCGCGCCAAAAGTGCCTCAGGGGCTCTTCCGATCACGAAAATAATGGTCCCAGGCGATTCCCCGGGTCGATATCTAGCCGCACCACCACTAACTTCACACGTGCCTCATATCCCTTATCCCTTAATCGTCCCTTAAATGACGGGGCGCGCCAAAAGTGCCTCAGGGGTTCTTCCGATCGCGAAAATAATGGTCCCAGGCAATTCCCCGGGTCGATATCTAGCCGCACCACCACTAACTTCACACGTGCCTCACATCCCTCATCCCTTAATCGTCCCTTAAACGACGGGGCGCGCCAAAAGTGCCTCAGGGGTTCTTCTGATCGCGAAAATAATGGTCCCAGGCGATTCCCCGGGTCGATATCTAGCCGCACCACCACTAACTTCACACGTGCCTCATATCCCTCATCCCTTAATCGTCCCTTAAACGACGGGGCGCGCCAAAAGTGCCTCAGGGGTTCTTCCGATCGCGAAAAGAATGGTCCCAGGCGATTCCCCGGGTCGATATCTAGCCGCACCACCACTAACTTCACACGTGCCTCATATCCCTTATCCCTTAATCGTCCCTTAAATGACGGGGCGCGCCAAAAGTGCCTCAGGGGTTCTTCTGATCGCGAAAATAATGGTCCCAGGCGATTCCCCGGGTCGATATCTAGCCGCACCACCACTAACTTCACACGTGCCTCATATCCCTTATCCCTTAATCGTCCCTTAAATGACGGGGCGCGCCAAAAGTAAATGACGGGGCGCGCCAAAAGTGCCTCAGGGGTTCTTCCGATCGCGAAAAGAATGGTCCCAGGCGATTCCCCGGGTCGATATCTAGCCGCACCACCACTAACTTCACACGTGCCTCACATCCCTCATCCCTTAATCGTCCCTTAAACGACGGGGCGCGCCAAAAGTGCCTCAGGGGTTCTTCTGATCGCGAAAATAATGGTCCCAGGCGATTCCCCGGGTCGATATCTAGCCGCACCACCACTAACTTCACACGTGCCTCATATCCCTCATCCCTTAATCGTCCCTTAAACGACGGGGCGCGCCAAAAGTGCCTCAGGGGTTCTTCCGATCGCGAAAAGAATGGTCCCAGGCGATTCCCCGGGTCGATATCTAGCCGCACCACCACTAACTTCACACGTGCCTCATATCCCTTATCCCTTAATCGTCCCTTAAATGACGGGGCGCGCCAAAAGTGCCTCAGGGGTTCTTCTGATCGCGAAAATAATGGTCCCAGGCGATTCCCCGGGTCGATATCTAGCCGCACCACCACTAACTTCACACGTGCCTCATATCCCTTATCCCTTAATCGTCCCTTAAATGACGGGGCGCGCCAAAAGTAAATGACGGGGCGCGCCAAAAGTGCCTCAGGGGTTGTTAGTTCCGGCATGTCTCCGTCCCAAAACAGGTGTAGTCAAACACAGGACCTTGTATTCATCTTGTCTATAGATCCGTTTCTGCAACACGTCAGAACAATCGTCACATATAGCAGCAGTGAGCTCTTCCCTAACACAACAACTGAGCCACACTCGATCTGACGATTAGACCTTGACATGACCCATACTCGTTCGTCCTTGACACATTTCGACTGCAAGTAGCACATACTAGGCACATACTATCATAAGACTGAAAACGACCAGTTCACTCGGTTAAACTTACTGACTGTGTGCACCTCATGCCGGACTAACTGGGGGGCTGATTCCCTCTGACACACGGTCGAAACAGTCTCTTCATATTATTCCTGCAGAAACAAAGTTATCAGTTTGGTACTCAAACACGGACAAACCTGAAACACCTTTGGCTTGGCTATTCACAGCCTTAAACAAAATAACATTCTCAAAATACTTTCTAGTTTCTAGGCCTTATCGCGGACCTTTAGCTCTACATACATGAAATGCGGCAAACAAATACAAATCCAGCGCAGAGTTCAAGTGCTGATATCAGACAGAGATCACGGTAAATCTGCTAGTTTCATATCACCATCAACAACGGGCATTTATCTGATTCAATCCACATAGAGTTATGCAAGATTTCACTTCCTAAACTCACTCATTAGCGCCAGGGAAATCAAACCATCCTCAGAAACAATCCTGAACAAGAATGTCGGCCGCACAAAACGGGCGTGGCAGGAACACGACAGTGCCCACCACTATCATACCGAAAATGCTGACACGTCACAATGTTTTAGGTTCTTAGATTCGAAAACGTGAAACACAAAACGCAGAATTATTTGTTTCGGAAAACGTTGTACAAAATATTGTTCATAGCATTCAAAGAAAACCGTGGAAATATTCATCAGAATGGTATTCGAGTATTTAAAGTACCTGCCACATTCGAGTACTTGTAAATACCCACGCGTAATCACACTCGGTCAATATAGATGTCGCGACGATCGAACGCCAAACTGCTGCTATAGCGTGACTATCGGCGCTTAACTAATATAGATGTTGCGACGATCGAACGCTAAACCGCTGCTATAGCGTGACTGCCGGCGCTAGACTGCTGCTATAGCTAGAGGGCAACTACACCCGCCCCCTTGAAGCCACCACGCAATACATGGCTTCAACCTTAGTCTACGACACGAACATGACGCACAGGAACATCTTCCATACAGAGTACACGATCTCGCCTACAGCTTAATCAGCTTAGTCACCGGTCGCTGAAGCGTGACGCCTCTGGTCTTAATCTCTACCGAGCGCACTAATCCGTCTGCTCCGACTCGGACTCGCTCCACTACTCCTAATGGCCACTGGCCTCGCGGCACAGCATCATCAACAACTAGAACCGCGTCTCCTACAACAAGGTTAGTCATTTTCCTTGTCACCCTATACGGTCGTTCCTGTAACAACGGTAAGTATTCTGCTCGCCACCGCTTCCAGAACAGATTCGCGAGATACCTCGCCTGCTTCCAACGTTTGACACTATCTGAGTCACTCTGGCCTACTACCCCGAACGGCATCACCACGCTGCCGGTACCAATCAGCAAATGGTTGGGAGTGAGTGGCTCGTGATCAACCGGATCTAAGGATACTGGGGTGAGTGGCCGACTGTTCAATATTGCCTCTACTTCACACAATAGAGTCAACAGAGTTTCTTCCGTGAACGTCTGCGAGTCCAGCAATGATCCCAGGATTCTTCGGATTGAGCGTATCTGTCGTTCCCAGACACCTCCGTGGTGGGACGCTGCGGCTGTGTTGAATTTCCATTCTACTCCTTGATTCAACAGCGTACGATGCAGCACATCTTCATTGCTTCGCAGTTTCTCCAACTCCTCTCGAAGCTCGCGACTGGCACCAACAAAATTTGTCCCCTTGTCTGATCTGAGCACCTTGACGTGACCTCTCCGTGCGACGAATCTACGTAAGGCGCACAGGAATGAATCTCCTGACAAATTTTCGGCGACCTCGATGTGGACGGCCCTCACCGCCAAACAAGTAAAAACGACTCCGTACCTCTTCACCTGCTTCCGTCCTTGTCGGACAAAAAACGGTCCGAAATAGTCGACTCCGGTTCGAGTGAATACAGGTTCTTCCGCTGTGACTCTGTCACTCGGCAGGTCCGCCATCTTCTGAGATTCTGGTGGGCGATGTCGTCGGCGGCATCCGAGGCAACGTCCAATCACTCGTCTGACGATCGAGTTCCCTTTCACGATCCAGAAACGTCTCCGTATCTCAGCTAACACATGTTGACGTCCAGAGTGTCCGACCTTCTCATGCACCTGTTGAACAGTTAGTTCGGCGAAATAGCAATCCGGGAGTACAATTGGGTGCTTCTGGTCCAGGGTGACGTCAGCATTCTTCAAACGTCCGCCAACTCGGAGGATCCCATCACTCAGGAATGGATTCAGCTTACTGAGAGCTCCCTTCACTTCCTTCCCATTGCGGAGTGTCTCCAGCTCATCAGGAAAACTCTGCTCCTGTACCCACCTAACGACACAGTTCTCTGCTTCTTCGAGATCTATCAGCTGGAGTCGAGATGGACGCTCCGTTTCTCGACCCTGCGATTTTGTCGCTCTTTCCTGCAATCTCTTCTTCACCTTCAGCAGCCAAGCCACTGCCCTTAGAAGAGCCTGCTTCTTACTGTAATGACGAATGAGCACTTCGATTGGATCCTTCATCTTCTCTTCTGACACCTTCATTGCACAGACCTTCACCTTCTTCACTTCAGGGTCTTCTTCCGCTATCTTCACCTTGGTTGGAGGCATCATGGGCCACTGCTCCTCTGGAAGCCGAAGAAAAGCCGGTCCAGAAAGCCACCTCTCACTCTGAACACCTCGTGAACTGTCATCGGCCGGGTTTTCTTCACCTCTCACGAACCTCCAGTTCTCAGTCTTTGATCCATCGTGGATGATCGCCAACCTGTTGCTGACAAACGTGTGGAATCTAGTCGCAGTGTTCTGCACGTATGCGAGAACGGTAGTACTATCCGTCCAGAAGAAATGTTCTGTCTCCGAACCGAGCTCCATCGCGTCCTCTATCAGCAACCGAACACGTACCGCCGTCACTCCAGCCATCAACTCCAGACGAGGAATCGTTATTTTCTTCAGTGGAGCCAGATGTGATGTACCTTTCACGAAAGCGACATGGACATCTCCCTGCTGGTCAGTGAAGCGAGCATAGGTGACTGTACCATACGCCCACTCACTAGCGTCGCTGAAATGATGCATCTGGAGCGTCGCCATTCCACCGAATTCAGCTGGCTTCAGATGCCGTGGGACACACAGATCTTGAGTAGCATCCAGATGAGATAGCCATTTCATCCAGTCGCTGCGCTGTTGAGCTGGAATCTCCTTGTCCCAGATTTCTCTCGTCCTGCAGAGATCTTGTAGGATCTTCCTGCCACAGATTATCGTTGGCGAAACGAGACCGAGCGGGTCGTAAATAGAACTCACTGCTGAAAGGATGCCTCTGCGGGTCAACGGCTTCGCCCGCAGACTGGTCGCGTTGACAGATACCCTCAGCAGATCGTTCTCTGTATCCCAGACTACGCCCAGGGCGCGCTCTTCTGGTAGACTTTCACCGACTCCTGTACATGTCTGCATCACCTTTGACCTGTCGCCTGTCTGGATCGAGGACATAAACGCCGAGCTGTTGCTGGTGAACTTCTTGAGACTGAACCCACCTTTCTCCAGCAGCGTCTTCAGGTCGTGAGCCAACGAGATGGCCATGTCAGCGTCGTCAGTGCTCTTCAACACATCATCGACGTAGAAGTTGCTGTTTACAGTCTTCACTGCTTCAGGTGATACCTCTTCTGCGAAGTCCGTCGCCGTCTCTCTCAAGGCGTAGCACGCCACACTTGGCGAAGACTTCGCTCCGAAGATATGGACAGTCATCCGATACTCTACCACACCAGAGTCGGGGCGCCCGTCTCTCCACCACAGAAATCTGAGGAGATCGCGCTCAGACTCTGGCACCCGAACCTGGTTGAACATACTTTCCACGTCAGCCATGAAGGCGACTCGTTCCATCCTGAAGCGCATCAGGACATCGAGTAGCGAGTTCGTCATGTCGGGGCCTTGCAGTAAGCAGTCATTCAGACTGACACCGCCGTACTTCATAGCACAGTCATAGACGACGCGGATGCGGTTCTTTGACGCGTGGCGCACTCCATGGTGCGCCAAGTAGTTCACTCTGCCGTCGTCACGATGAATGTCTGCTACTGGTACGGGCTCAGCGTATCCCTTGTCGATCATTTCTTCCACAGAATCTCGGTACTGCTCAGCGAACTCAACATCGTTCTTCATTCGGCGACCTAGACTAGTCAGTCTTCTCTCTGCCAGGACGCGGTTGTTCGGCAGTACGACGTCTTCATCCTTCAACGGAATGCTGAACTGGTAGTGTCCTCTGTCAACTTTCTTGGACGCCTCCATCACCGTGAGCCACTTCTTGTCCTCCTCAGACAGGCCTCTCTTCATTGAGTTGAGGTTCTCTTCGTATTCCCGATCATACATTCCTTGTATCATATCTTCGATGTCATTCACCGACGTTCTGTAGACCTTTGTTCCGCTGTCTGTGGCTGAGGAAGACGTCACCCCACTCAGGATCCAGCCGAACCTCGTGCGCACAGCATACGGGCTTCCGTTGCGACTGGGTATCACTTGCAGCGGCTCCATGCTGAGAAACGCGTTGGCGCCGAGGAGAAGTCCAACGCATGTGGCGTCTGCCTGCTCGAATTCTACTCCTGTGAGATGTTCCCACCTACTGACATCGAGCTGGTGGCTGGGGAACTCCTCTGGGTCCACCGGGATACGCTCCAATTCGAACAGCGGAGGCAGCCGGAGCGCGTGCCGCCCACGTAGGTCCGAAACCGTTACTCCCTCTACTACATGTGTTTCCACCTTCGTGCTTCTGTCGACTGTCGTCAGTGAAAGCTGTTTGCGTGGCATGTTGTCAATGTTGAGCTCTTTGATCAACGCTGAGGAGATGAAGGAATGTGTCGAGCCGCTATCGAGAAAAGCGTATGTTTGACACGTACTCGTACCAACACGAACAACAACAGGCACAACAGGGAGAACTGGCTTGCTAGCCTCAGACTCACCCGCTGTTTGACATGTTGTTACTCTGGCGGCGTCGGTAGGCCCCTCTCGTTGCTGCTGCTGGGTGTGATTCAGCTCATGTCCACGTCCATGCTGATGTTGGACAACATGTGATTGGTCATGCTGACGGCCCTGTTGTCCTTCTCGTGGCTGTTGTTCCTCCCTTTGATGCTGAGTGTCGTCTCGATCCGGGTGCTGTCCACTCTGTTGCTGATATTGCCGCACGTACTGTTCAGATCGTTCCCAGTGTAGTGAGGTTGGATGTCGCCTTCCACATGTCCTGCACGACGCTCTTCGCCTGCAGTCGCGACTTCGATGTCCTTGCTTCAGACAGCTCCAGCACAGAGCCTTCTCCCGGACGAAGTTTTGCTTCTGTTGACTCGTGACTGCGGAGAGACTCTCACACTCACACACATCATGACCTCGTCGGTTACAAAATACGCAGTGGCTCTCCTCGGGACGCGGCGTGACATGAGTCGCCGTTACCACTGCTCGACCAGAGCTCATCCGTGGACTCGTTCGTGTCACCGGTGTCCTACTCATGGGGTTCCCGCCAAACATGTCCCTACCGTATGTGGGGTTAGACGCAACTCTCGCTTCCTTTGTTACAAACGCGACCAAATCGTCAAAGTTCGCTTCTCGACCTCCAATCTCTTCGATGTCATCAACTTTGTGTCTCCATTTGTTGATCAGTAGCCCAGGGAGCTTCCCCACGATTGTTCTCAGTGTCCTGGGGTCGCGAAGAGTCTCGTGTGTGCCGCAACTACTCAGAGCGTTCCTGCACTTGGTGAGCAAGATACCAAAAGAATCAAGTCCTTGTACATCATCCGCTCGAATCTGACTGTGATTTTCTAGACGAGCAATGAACGCCGCTGATACAGTACTAGGCCGTCCGTATCTACTATCTAGCAACCGTCGGGCTTCGTCGTAGCCCTCCTGAAGATACATACAAGCAGACACGATGTGGTGCGGCTTTGTACCAGGAACCATGTACTGTTCTAAGTAGTACAACTTCTCATCAGGGTCGTCTAACTTGGACGCGATCTTCAAGTCAAATGCTCGGATGAACTGGGGATATTCAGTGACGTCACCTTCAAATCTCGCTATCTCCACTGATGGAAGACGCATGAACCCGGCGAGAGCACGCTGAGCGCTCTCCCCTGACGAGTGTGAAACTGTGTGTGCGCCGGCCGAGCGGACGACTCGTTCGCCGACCTGGTGATTCACTGGACGCGAGGTAGTTTGATGGATGCTCTGTTCATCTATCGGTGGGAAGTGTGGAATAGCACCATGTTGAACGACATGTTGACCTGCTAATTGTGATGCCTGTGAACATGCAGCATACTGATCCGGGATAGCGTCTGAAAACCTGTGCTGGAACACCAAAGACTGTCCTACTGAAGTGAGTGGTTCCTGACTGGCGACCTGACCGAGAACTGGTCCTCTAGCGCTCACCGAAGTCGGAGCTCCTTGAGCTTCCACGAACTGTCTTCGCTCTTGCATCTGCGGCTGTAGTACTCCATGTGGAGGCTGGGTCGTCAGTACCTGCTGTTGTTGCTGACAGTGCACTCCGGACTGAGGTTGAGTGATGTTCGCCTCTGCTTGCACCTGTTGAGAGCGTTCAATCATTTTCACTTGTTCAGACAAGGCAACTTCTCGAGCTTTGGACACATCAAGGGCTTCATTTATCTCAAGCAGCTCCTTTTCTTCCTGCAATCTGGCTAACTCCCTGCTCAGCTTTTGCTTTTCTGTCATACGCTTGAGCTTGACCTCCAACTCAGCTCTGTTTGCTGCTTCTTTAGCTATCCTAGACCTGACCGAGGAGGTAGAGGAACGGGATGCTCTGGATACATTGGATGCACTATCCTGGGGATGCACAACCTGTTCGTGCGAAAGAACATCACTTCTCACACCTAATTCAACTCCTATACTCTGACCATCAACATCAGTGACAGATCTACCACTATCAACAGCAGCAGGACAACCATCGGTTTTAACACCTGAATCCTTATCAGTCATGTTTGAGTTTACATTGGCTGCCACTACGACATGAGCACCATCAGATTGCTGTACACCTCTCACATCACGAGCATCAGGGTCAGCACCAGCATCAACAAGTTCATCCCCAACTGCAGCTTCTAGTCTCTCACATAGTTCAGCTTTAGTCCCCTTAGTGTTAAGACCCCGCCTCTCCAGCTCAGCCTTCAACTCACTGGACTTCAGTTTATGCATTCTCAGTTCTTAGATGGCACTCACTGCGTTTCATTGAGTAGTCTCGTGGCAGGTGCACTCACTGCAGTCGGATGAGCAGTCTCGTGGTAGATGCACTCACTGCAGTCGGGTGAGCAGTCTCGTGGTAGATGCACTCCAGTTGCAGTCGGATGAGCAGTCTTGTAGCAGACAGTCAAAACTGTTAGTTCCGGCATGTCTCCGTCCCAAAACAGGTGTAGTCAAACACAGGACCTTGTATTCATCTTGTCTATAGATCCGTTTCTGCAACACGTCAGAACAATCGTCACATATAGCAGCAGTGAGCTCTTCCCTAACACAACAACTGAGCCACACTCGATCTGACGATTAGACCTTGACATGACCCATACTCGTTCGTCCTTGACACATTTCGACTGCAAGTAGCACATACTAGGCACATACTATCATAAGACTGAAAACGACCAGTTCACTCGGTTAAACTTACTGACTGTGTGCACCTCATGCCGGACTAACTGGGGGGGCTGATTCCCTCTGACACACGGTCGAAACAGTCTCTTCATATTATTCCTGCAGAAACAAAGTTATCAGTTTGGTACTCAAACACGGACAAACCTGAAACACCTTTGGCTTGGCTATTCACAGCCTTAAACAAAATAACATTCTCAAAATACTTTCTAGTTTCTAGGCCTTATCGCGGACCTTTAGCTCTACATACATGAAATGCGGCAAACAAATACAAATCCAGCGCAGAGTTCAAGTGCTGATATCAGACAGAGATCACGGTAAATCTGCTAGTTTCATATCACCATCAACAACGGGCATTTATCTGATTCAATCCACATAGAGTTATGCAAGATTTCACTTCCTAAACTCACTCATTAGCGCCAGGGAAATCAAACCATCCTCAGAAACAATCCTGAACAAGAATGTCGGCCGCACAAAACGGGCGTGGCAGGAACACGACAGTGCCCACCACTATCATACCGAAAATGCTGACACGTCACAATGTTTTAGGTTCTTAGATTCGAAAACGTGAAACACAAAACGCAGAATTATTTGTTTCGGAAAACGTTGTACAAAATATTGTTCATAGCATTCAAAGAAAACCGTGGAAATATTCATCAGAATGGTATTCGAGTATTTAAAGTACCTGCCACATTCGAGTACTTGTAAATACCCACGCGTAATCACACTCGGTCAATATAGATGTCGCGACGATCGAACGCCAAACTGCTGCTATAGCGTGACTATCGGCGCTTAACTAATATAGATGTTGCGACGATCGAACGCTAAACCGCTGCTATAGCGTGACTGCCGGCGCTAGACTGCTGCTATAGCTAGAGGGCAACTACAGGGGTTCTTCCGATCGCGAAAAGAATGGTCCCAGGCGATTCCCCGGGTCGATATCTAGCCGCACCACCACTAACTTCACACGTGCCTCACATCCCTCATCCCTTAATCGTCCCTTAAACGACGGGGCGCGCCAAAAGTGCCTCAGGGGTTCTTCTGATCGCAAAAAGAATGGTCCCAGGCGATTCCCCGGGTCGATATCTAGCCGCACCACCACTAACTTCACACGTGCCTCATATCCCTCATCCCTTAATCGTCCCTTAAACGACGGGGCGCGCCAAAAGTGCCTCAGGGGTTCTTCCGATCGCGAAAAGAATGGTCCCAGGCGATTCCCCGGGTCGATATCTAGCCGCACCACCACTAACTTCACACGTGCCTCATATCCCTTATCCCTTAATCGTCCCTTAAATGACGGGGCGCGCCAAAAGTGCCTCAGGGGTTCTTCCGATCGCGAAAATAATGGTCCCAGGCAATTCCCCGGGTCGATATCTAACCGCACCACCACTAACTTCACACGTGCCTCACATCCCTCATCCCTTAATCGTCCCTTAAACGACGGGGCGCGCCAAAAGTGCCTCAGGGGTTCTTCTGATCGCGAAAATAATGGTCCCAGGCGATTCCCCGGGTCGATATCTAGCCGCACCACCACTAACTTCACACGTGCCTCATATCCCTCATCCCTTAATCGTCCCTTAAACGACGGGGCGCGCCAAAAGTGCCTCAGGGGTTCTTCCGATCGCGAAAAGAATGGTCCCAGGCGATTCCCCGGGTCGATATCTAGCCGCACCACCACTAACTTCACACGTGCCTCATATCCCTTATCCCTTAATCGTCCCTTAAATGACGGGGCGCGCCAAAAGTGCCTCAGGGGTTCTTCTGATCGCGAAAATAATGGTCCCAGGCGATTCCCCGGGTCGATATCTAGCCGCACCACCACTAACTTCACACGTGCCTCATATCCCTTATCCCTTAATCGTCCCTTAAATGACGGGGCGCGCCAAAAGTAAATGACGGGGCGCGCCAAAAGTGCCTCAGGGGTTCTTCCGATCGCGAAAAGAATGGTCCCAGGCGATTCCCCGGGTCGATATCTAGCCGCACCACCACTAACTTCACACGTGCCTCACATCCCTCATCCCTTAATCGTCCCTTAAACGACGGGGCGCGCCAAAAGTGCCTCAGGGGTTCTTCTGATCGCGAAAATAATGGTCCCAGGCGATTCCCCGGGTCGATATCTAGCCGCACCACCACTAACTTCACACGTGCCTCATATCCCTCATCCCTTAATCGTCCCTTAAACGACGGGGCGCGCCAAAAGTGCCTCAGGGGTTCTTCCGATCGCGAAAAGAATGGTCCCAGGCGATTCCCCGGGTCGATATCTAGCCGCACCACCACTAACTTCACACGTGCCTCATATCCCTTATCCCTTAATCGTCCCTTAAATGACGGGGCGCGCCAAAAGTGCCTCAGGGGTTCTTCTGATCGCGAAAATAATGGTCCCAGGCGATTCCCCGGGTCGATATCTAGCCGCACCACCACTAACTTCACACGTGCCTCATATCCCTTATCCCTTAATCGTCCCTTAAATGACGGGGCGCGCCAAAAGTGCCTCAGGGGTTCTTCTGATCGCGAAAATAATGGTCCCAGGCGATTCCCCGGGTCGATATCTAGCCGCACCACCACTAACTTCACACGTGCCTCATATCCCTTATCCCTTAATCGTCCCTTAAATGACGGGGCGCGCCAAAAGTAAATGACGGGGCGCGCCAAAAGTGCCTCAGGGGTTCTTCCGATCGCGAAAAGAATGGTCCCAGGCGATTCCCCGGGTCGATATCTAGCCGCACCACCACTAACTTCACACGTGCCTCACATCCCTCATCCCTTAATCGTCCCTTAAACGACGGGGCGCGCCAAAAGTGCTTCAGGGGTTCTTCTGATCGCGAAAATAATGGTCCCAGGCGATTCCCCGGGTCGATATCTAGCCGCACCACCACTAACTTCACACGTGCCTCATATCCCTCATCCCTTAATCGTCCCTTAAACGACGGGGCGCGCCAAAAGTGCCTCAGGGGTTCTTCCGATCGCGAAAAGAATGGTCCCAGGCGATTCCCCGGGTCGATATCTAGCCGCACCACCACTAACTTCACACGTGCCTCATATCCCTTATCCCTTAATCGTCCCTTAAATGACGGGGCGCGCCAAAAGTGCCTCAGGGGTTCTTCTGATCGCGAAAATAATGGTCCCAGGCGATTCCCCGGGTCGATATCTAGCCGCACCACCACTAACTTCACACGTGCCTCATATCCCTTATCCCTTAATCGTCCCTTAAATGACGGGGCGCGCCAAAAGTAAATGACGGGGCGCGCCAAAAGTGCCTCAGGGGTTCTTCCGATCGCGAAAAGAATGGTCCCAGGCGATTCCCCGGGTCGATATCTAGCCGCACCACCACTAACTTCACACGTGCCTCACATCCCTCATCCCTTAATCGTCCCTTAAACGACGGGGCGCGCCAAAAGTGCCTCAGGGGTTCTTCTGATCGCGAAAAGAATGGTCCCAGGCGATTCCCCGGGTCGATATCTAGCCGCACCACCACTAACTTCACACGTGCCTCATATCCCTCATCCCTTAATCGTCCCTTAAACGACGGGGCGCGCCAAAAGTGCCTCAGGGGTTCTTCCGATCGCGAAAAGAATGGTCCCAGGCGATTCCCCGGGTCGATATCTAGCCGCACCACCACTAACTTCACACGTGCCTCATATCCCTTATCCCTTAATCGTCCCTTAAATGACGGGGCGCGCCAAAAGTGCCTCAGGGGTTCTTCCGATCGCGAAAATAATGGTCCCAGGCAATTCCCCGGGTCGATATCTAGCCGCACCACCACTAACTTCACACGTGCCTCACATCCCTCATCCCTTAATCGTCCCTTAAACGACGGGGCGCGCCAAAAGTGCCTCAGGGGTTCTTCTGATCGCGAAAATAATGGTCCCAGGCGATTCCCCGGGTCGATATCTAGCCGCACCACCACTAACTTCACACGTGCCTCATATCCCTCATCCCTTAATCGTCCCTTAAACGACGGGGCGCGCCAAAAGTGCCTCAGGGGTTCTTCCGATCGCGAAAAGAATGGTCCCAGGCGATTCCCCGGGTCGATATCTAGCCGCACCACCACTAACTTCACACGTGCCTCATATCCCTTATCCCTTAATCGTCCCTTAAATGACGGGGCGCGCCAAAAGTGCCTCAGGGGTTCTTCTGATCGCGAAAATAATGGTCCCAGGCGATTCCCCGGGTCGATATCTAGCCGCACCACCACTAACTTCACACGTGCCTCATATCCCTTATCCCTTAATCGTCCCTTAAATGACGGGGCGCGCCAAAAGTAAATGACGGGGCGCGCCAAAAGTGCCTCAGGGGTTCTTCCGATCGCGAAAAGAATGGTCCCAGGCGATTCCCCGGGTCGATATCTAGCCGCACCACCACTAACTTCACACGTGCCTCACATCCCTCATCCCTTAATCGTCCCTTAAACGACGGGGCGCGCCAAAAGTGCCTCAGGGGTTCTTCTGATCGCGAAAATAATGGTCCCAGGCGATTCCCCGGGTCGATATCTAGCCGCACCACCACTAACTTCACACGTGCCTCATATCCCTCATCCCTTAATCGTCCCTTAAACGACGGGGCGC